TCGCGCCGTGTGGTACCAAGCTCCACGCCTGAGGGCCCGGAGCTGCCACGGCTGCGCCGCTGGCTGCAAGCCCGGGGCCTTCGCAGGAGGAAATCCCAGCGGGCGGCTGCGCGCCTGCGGTCAGGGGTGCGGGAAGGAGGGCCGGCTCTCGGATGACAAGGTGCCTGGCTCAAGTTAAAACCAGCCAGCTTCACAGCTTCCCCCATGGTTTTGAAGATTTCAAAACGGGAAGACCCTCTGTAGGCTGAGATGTGATGGGTAAATAATCACTTGACCTTCCCTGCCCCCAGTAGATAACTTGAGTTTGAATGTCTGCGTGCCAGTGTATCTGCAAAAAATTCTACCCTAAATGGATTTCTCATATTCAGGGCAACTATTTGTGGGGGGTGTGTATGTGTAAGGGGGCTTAGACCCATTGTTTTTAAGTCTGTTTTTTCATATCTAATACATATTTGTTTCATATGTAACATTTTTTTAAATTACTGTGGGAGACAGGAAACTTGGGAAACGGGACCAATGTGCTCCCAACATCCTCCTGCCCAATTAACTTTCAGATCCATCCATCAGTTTCAACCAGGTTACATACCAGCATATCACACAGTTAAGCTTTCTATAAGCAACAGTTTGATGGGGGAAAAGACATAGTCCAAATTATTCTGTTGTTGGGAGGGAGGCTCAAGGCTGTAAGGCTCAGTGGCTGTAAGCTGGTTTTAGCCAGCTGTCAGACCATCAATGGATTTGGAGCAAGGAAGCAAACCTTCGTCCGCCTTAGCGAGCAGCTGTGTCTCCAAGGGGAAGAGTTTGGTTCCGAGTTTCCAGCGTGCACACAATTTATATTTTGTGGGCACTAACTGTGGTCTGATTTTATGGACTGAATTCTCATTAGGACCACATCTTTCAATTTGGTGTGATCCAAAATAGATCCAGTTTGCGTACCTTGCTCTCTAAAGTGACCCAAAGCACAGTAGGTGAGGATGGGTGGAAGGATCGCTTCACAAACATGCTCCTGATCTGAGCTTACACACTGATTTAGGTACACCAGTCCCCCCCCCCCCTGCCACTCTTGAGGAATATGGGAAGGGGAAGAGGTTTGGGGAACTTTGGAGCAAAAGGAACCTGATGTATTGCTGTTGTCAGGAAGAGTATTTGGGGATGTTAAGAAGGGAACAGGAGGTGAGGTTACTGTGGTATAATGACATTGGATGAGGACAATACGCAGAAAGAGGACACATCTCTTTAGGCAATGAGGCTTCAGTAAATTTGTTCTCCCCACCTCAAGGAAGTGCCATTCAAGTTTTCATGCAGTCACTTGATGCAAAATTAATTTATTTATTTATTTTTAAAGAGGCATAATCATACACCCAAATACAGATACCTTTCTTTGTGCTATTTGTCTAAACTCCCTTTAATGGAGAGCAATATGCGCTTCTAAAGCACTTTTCAATGTGTCCTAAAGTAGTATAAAGGATGAGACAAATCCACCCTGGCTTCCAGTGTCATGGGTAAAGGTATAAAGCTTTAGCAATGGATCATTTTAAGTTTGAAGTAGGCTGTTTGCTGTGTGATGTTGACAGTAGTTATCAGTCACTTTTGCTAATCTATTTGGAAGATTTTTTCAAATTTAAATCTTGTCTTGTGCTGTAAATCGCTTGCCCTGTGAAAACTGCCTGAGATTTAGCAAAACCTTAGTTCATTCATGCCCTACAAGTTATTGGTAATTGTGTATCTTTGACTTTTGATTCTTTTGAGATTTTAAGTATTTTATGTTATGCAAGGGACATTTGAATGAATCCATTGTATAGGCTCTTAATTAGTCAGTGGTGGTATTTTATGAAATGATGGGGTGGATTCTGCATCCCTAAAATTAAGTAGGAACAGAATTGAGCTCATCATAATTTGAGACTGCTCAGGTAAATAAGAGGAGTAACTTGGGTTTATGTGGAAATTAATTGGTGGTGTCTAACTGAAGCTGTATAATCCTGCTGGCAGGAGAGAGGAGTACCCGGTTTCCGTTTGATTCCTTGGAAGTCTAATGCTGATTAATAGCTTACTCAAAGCAGGAAACAGATAAGCTGCGTGTAGAAAACTTAGTCTACTGTGTGAAACGAGAGCCCGAATTTAGTTCAGATGGATCACTCATTGTGAAAGTCAGTTAAAGAAACTGCTTTCTAGCCTATGCTGGCCTATAATGCTGTAAGAGCTTCAGGAGCTCAAAATATTTACCATTTTTTCCCCTTTTTAAACAGGCACTACTTTGCACTGCCCACTAATCCCGGTGAGCAGTTCTTTATGTTTTGCACGCTTGCCGCTTGGCTGATCACTAAAGCGGGACATCCCTTCGAACAGCCACAAGAATATGATGACCCCAATGCAGTAATATCAAATGTACTCTCAGAACTGCGATCATTTGTAAGTGTTGAACATGCTGTTTTCCCAAGTGTATTTCAAGCACGTGCATCACCTTCAGAAACAACAGTAATGACACACTTTCTCTGCTGTCTGAATATGTTCCCAAGGACGGGGCAGACTTTTCCTATCTATAAGTTTGTACTATGTTAATTAGTTAATTGGAGGTTTATACTGTGTGTACCTACTTGCTAACTCTTTGGCACTATGAAAATGGGCTTACGATATTATATATGATCCCAATTAGTTTTGCTCCACAATCTGTGAGATGGATTAAATCAGGCTTACTGTTTATAGTGCCACATATGTTGCTCATTTATAGCAGTATAATTTACAAAGATTTTTATCTTGAAAGTTTACACAGTGCTTGTGATCCTACTCCTGCCAAAGTCAGTGGTATAATTCATAGTGAAGGAGATAGTTTAGAATTGTGTTCATGTTTTCTTTTTGTTTGGTTTTTTTTTTTTTTTGGTTGGTTGGGGTTTTTTTTGTTAAGCAGTAGAAGGTTGCATAAACTGCCAGGAACTATTGGGATTCTTTTCATTATTAAACCCTGCCCCACCCTTAAGGTCAGGAGAGTGTATCAATTTACAGGAAGTATGATCTTATGTAAGATTATACTGTGGTACAGCTGTGAATGATGTTAAGAATGCTGTTCTCTAAAGGAGTTACTTGATAATAAACTAAGATATTTATTCTGTAGGACAGCAATAAATAAAAATAAAATATTTTATAAATAAAATCTGGAACAAACAAGGCAATATTGAAAAGTTGGTAGTTAAGTCTCAGTACCCAAGTTCCTCCATCGCTGTTCTTACCTTGCCAGCATGTCACTTGTGTGCTTGACCATCTAGCTCCCTTGTGGCTTCCGATTTCTGCTCCCTGTGAGTATCCTCTTATCAGGTGCTTTAAAATTTCTACACCGCATCTGTTCCTTGGGTTGTTCTGTTTTCCCTCCTCTTGCCTGACTGGAGCTGCACAGGGGAAGAATATGAATTAACATTGGTAAAATCTTCATACGCAATGGACACTTTGGTTTTAGCGTAGTAAATCTTGTTACCTGCCTGAGAGGAAACTCGATTGATGGGTAGCCGTTAGTAAACAGTATATCTCTTTATTTTAGGGAAGGCCTGTGGATTTTCCTCCCTCAAAATTAAAGGCAGGTTATGGAGAGCAAGCGTGCTATGTTCTTGATTGTTTAGCTGAAGAAGCCTTGAAATACACTGGCTTTAGCTGGAAAAGGTATAGTACGCTTTTAAGCATCCTCCCTTATGCATTGTCTTCCAGCAAACAAATATAAGTTGTAATTATAAGGACAAAACATAGTAATTACCAAAAATGCTTTACTTGATGTTTCATGAGATGCAAAATTCAACTAGGCTTGAAGCAGTGGGACAAATTAGTTCCTAATGCAATTTCACACAATTTAGTCTATTACCAGCAAGGATGAGTTTGGGCCATTAATAGACTTCGCTAATGAATAAAGATTTGACTGATGACCTTTTTTTTGGTCATTCTCTGATGCATAACTGCTTGTTAATCTGACAGTTGAGTTGAAACATATTAACATTCTTTTAGGTCCTATCAATCAGTCTTGACCTCTTCAGTTGGAGGTATGCACAGTATGTGATCATGTTGCAAGTAGGCTACAGTAACTTTGAGTATTTAATCCAAAGGAAATCTTAAGACAAATTAGATGACAGATAATTTCAAGTACATGAAAATTTTTTAAAAAGTGCTCTTTATTTCATTCCTTCCCTCTGATGGATTTTGAAATGGATATAGTGAAGTAATTTCTACCTTGGAAATATTTTACTGTTACCTCTATTTAGTACAAAATTCCACTGTAAGCCAAAAATGAGTCTGTGGTGACTTGCATTTAAATTTTAAGAGGTTAGACAAAAAGGGAAAATGACACAAAATTTACTCCCAAATGTCTTTGCAGTATGAATGTACTGTACTGCTTGGTATAATAACTAACCCTAATTTTTAAGACAGTCCAAGATAAAGAAAGACTTCTAAGGCTGAGCTTTAATTTTATTTGTTTAAATATGTGACGCACTGTCTAGTCCTATTCCACATCATCCATACTTCTCATGAAATGTTTTGTTTGCTTAGGAGCAATTTACAGAGGTATTTCCAATATATTCTGTAAAAGCTCTGCTGTTCTTTGAACTAATTTCAGGCCAGCATATCCAACAGAAGAGCTAGAAGAAGAAGAAATAACAGAAGATGATGCAGAATTAACACTTAATAAACTGGAAGAGGATGTTATGGTAGGTTTACCTAACTGGTTTTGATTATATCAGTACTGGTCAGCTATAAGAGAATCTTTCTTGCTGTTCGTTTTGTTTGGCTTTAAGAAGTCTTTTCCATTAGCTGATCCATTGCCCTTTTTTCCTGCATCTTTTTTCCTGCATTGTCAGCTTCTCTGAAGTTTTTTGTTTCCTTTCAGATAAGGTTGTTAACTCTTTGGGGCAGAGCTTATGTTCTTATGTGCATTTATAGGTAATGTAAAGTGAAATGGAATCTAACGGTACATTAAAATTGCATAGATTCAGAATTGCTTGTTTTCTGCTGATACAAGCTGTTAATGTTAAACGAACTTCAGTCCCTGTTTACAGAATTGGCTAATATTTTGTTAAGATTTGCCCAGCATTCTATGAATAGAGTGCTCACTATTGTAACTCAGATTCCACTGCAAATAGGAAACAGTAAGTTTGGTACTTAGTTGATTTTAAGATCTGGGAACAGGGTAGATAGAAAAGAGCAACTGGAAACCAAGCATTTGTTTAAAAACACCAGCAAAGACCTAAATAAAGGTTGCAAAATTGTTTCTGTAGAGGAAGGTCATGGCAGTTCATGGCTGTATATGTATTCCACAAATGAAACGGTAATACCCAGTCATCCATTCTGACTGCAGAACAAGTCTGTCTGCTTTGAAATACCTTTTACCAACAAGATGGCAGTGTTTGAGGATGAATTGCTTTATTTATTCCTGCTTTTTAACTATAATAATTACAGTGAAGTTGTCACATCTGTGAAACAGCCTATGAAATACACCTGTAAGTTCAAATATGCTTTTAGGACTTACTGATGGATGGATGTTGAACAGAGGTTGTTTCTTGCTGATTGATTTTCTCAGAAGATTATTTTTAGGAGAGTTGGAGTGTCGCTGTTATCTGGTAGCATAATGACAAGATACTGTCATTTTCACAGGCCTCTGTCAGTCTCCTCGAAGTGAATCTGACACTGCTGACTTAAAAACGATTTTTCTGGAGAGAGAAGTTAGCTGAAGTCAAAGTGAAAATTACAAAAAGAAGTTAGTTTCACATCTGATTTTTCAAAAGCGGATGATTCTGTGCAAAATAAATGTAGATCAAAACCAAAATATCAAAAGCTGTGAGCCTGGAAGTGTTCACTAGCTGAGTCAGTAAATTACTTGAGGAGAAAACAATTTTCTGGAGTGTTAAGGCCCACCAATACTGGATAGAAAATGCCACAACTGTCCCATTTTTGTGTTCACATTTTCCAAGTGCTTGGAAAAATTAAAGGTCAGAAAAGTTGGAAATAGAATGCCAGTAATGTTATCATATGGTTCTGATCATAGTCCTGATTTATACAGGATGTCACAATAGTCCACAAGAATGTAACAGCTGAAGAGTTTGCTTCTCTTCTTCCTCTTCTCACAGTTTTCCTAAGAATTGCATTATTTTTCTCATTTTTATTAGCCAAGAAAAATTCCAAACTTTTATTCTTAAATTTCATACAATATGCAGATACTGTGAGGTGGCTGTCTGGTTGCATTTTTACCAGCTTTGAAGTCTCCACAGAAAAAGTCTTGAATAATTCTGAGAACAATAACAGACATTCTGTGGTGCATGTTTGACCAGCCTCAGAAATGTAAGCTGTCGGCTAAAAGCTTTAAATATGAAAACGGTCAGCTGTCTGCTCTTCTCTGCATCTCGTTAAGGTCTAAGCTGTTAAATTGCGAAGTGGGGAGGAAAAAGTTAACTAAAGCACAGTTGAAACCCTTCAAAGAACTTCTGGATTTGCTCAGGTAGTATCTGAGGCCATGATTTTCACAATTAACATGTTTTATTAGCTCTTCTGAGTTTGTGTGTTAATAAAACCATTAAGCCAGGTTTATACCAAGTGGATAACCACTTTTTTAGAGCCCCTAATTGTTCTATAAGGATTAATTATATGCCGATGTAATTTTTTTTTTTTTCCCCCAGTCCATTGTTGCTGCCAATATATTGGTATGTCCTGGGTGTATTAGCTGTATCCATAATTGAATTTAGCAGTATTTCCAGTAGTTAAATGCTAATGACAAGGTTCATTGATTGTTCTTCTGGTTTTGATTCTTCTGAATAAAATGGATGAGGCTGACAGAGACAAGCCTAGTTCTGTAAGTCTTGGGGAATTAGGTGAACAGGAGCCAGCGAGGCTGGCTGTGCATGGAAATCTGCACAGTTTGGTTCCTCAGTTCTGATAACTAGTCATCTTGTTGTCATGGTAGTGTTGTAACACATTCTTCTAAGTGCTGTACAAATATATATTGTCCATTTAGTAAAAGATAGTCTCAATCTAGTCACCATTAATTTCTTGCAAGTATTCAGGGAATTTGGAGCCAAACACGCCAGAAGAAAATAGAGTGGTCCCTATCAGTAAAAAAATAGGTAAGGTAAAGGAATAAGCTCCCGCTGAGTCTTGAAGGGTTCTACGCTAAGACCTGTGTTATTGCAGCATTCATGATTTGTCTAGAAAGGAGGCGAGTGGTGGAATTTGACTTTGGTGGAAAAGACGATGGCTAACAGAAGAGCTACAGAAGGACAAGGTGTATAAGGGTGAACTGTATGGGTGATAAAATGGCAGGTGAAATTCAGTATAGATAAACAGAGGGTAACGCATGGCAAAAGCATCTTTGGTTTAGGCAGTGATGGGCTCTGAGCTGATCATGATCACTGAGGAATGAGACTATAATAGGTAATTCTATAAAACTGTCAGCCCAGTGCGTAGTGTCATGGGCAAGAAAACAAATCGATTGCTTCAATTTGAACTGTATCATTCTGCACACTTTCAAAATGTAGTGTCATTGTACAGCTCCAAATCTGTAGTGCAAACAACATCTTGAAAACTGTGTTCAGGTCTGGTTGTGGTTTGGTTTTTGTTTTGGTTTGGTTTTATTTTTAATGCAAAGCTTTAGGAAACATAAGAAGTTACAGTTACCATACAACTATTGAAAATGGCCCATTTGATGTGAGAGGGCTTAGGTTTTGGGATGGTTTTTTTGGTTGGTTGGTTTAGGTTTTAAATACTGTGGCACCCTGAGGGAAATGTGGGGTAGCTTTCATCTTTCACATTATCCCAGATACTGTGTCTCCTCGTAAGATTTTAAGTAAATACAAGCTCTGTTATCATAAACTCTCCCCTGTCAGAAATTTGGAATTTAAAACTCCTTGTCCTGTGCTCCTGCAAAATGAAATTATGGAGAAAGATTGTGCAATACTTACTGAAGCCTTACTTTGCAACTTCCCTTAAGGAAGAAGAGTCGGACAATGAAGAAAATTTTATTGACCTGAATGTTCTGAAGGCACAAACATGCAGATCAGTAAGTTGTAACCCATCAGTCCTCTCTTGAGAGATTTTTACATCTGTAGCAGCAATTTATTTCTGTTGGATTTAAGTGTGAAAGTCCTTATATAGTCTAAACTTGAAAAAACATTCCAACTAAAATGAATCAGCTTACTTTAAAAGAAAAATGTACATCCAGTTTGTAAACTGTTATCACTACAACGTTGCTGGAAACATTTGCAAGAAATTTTTACAGAGACTTAGGGAAACATGGTATTAGTGTCTTGAATGTATTTTAATTTTTCCCCCCCTTGCTATTTCTGGAATGTATTATAATTTCTTCTTATATACATTTTGTTCTTGTCAGTTCTAAATATGATGGGAAGATGTATTTATTTTAATTCCTAGTCTTTATGAATTCAAAGAAAGCCATTAAAGAAATTTGTTATATCTGTAGTCTACATCATTCCGGATATAAATTTTTTTCTGACTATGAACACTGTAAGCCATTGTAGCATGATTATGCACAGTGAGAACTGTTAGAAATGATGATATTTTGTATATAAACTTTGTGATTTTTACACAGGACATGAATAACTCTGCAAAACAAGAAGAGATTTTACAGTCCACGACAGATGCAGCAGAGTGGAATCTGGAAGTGGAACGTGTGCTTCCACAGCTGAAAGTTACAGTCAGGACTGACAATAAGGTATGCGAGAATGGCTTTGCACATGTACGCGTGGTGATTAAAGTGTGATTTCAGTCAGTGTTGTTTATTTTCCATTTACAACTTTTTTTCTTTTGTCATGCCAAGAATTGTGAATAATGGGCTCTCCAACACTATCTTGTCTGAATCTTTGTCACTTACTTTGACCCTAGAAACAATAATTTTCAGTAGTTTTTTTTTTTCCCAATATTGTATAAGAATAATTTTTTCTGCTACTTACAGGGCACCTTATTTCCATAGATTTATTTCCATAGATTTATTTCCATAGATTTATTTCCATAGATTTATTTCCATAGATTTATTCAGTGGAAACTTCTTAAATGGTTAAATATGTCCAATGTATTCACACTTCTGAAAAATTACACCCTCAGTTTAGCAGCTATTAAAACATCTTCCTGAAAGAGAGCTGAGGAACTTCTTATCCTTTAACTGTTCAATTTGTTAACCACATTAAAGGTTGATTGCATGGAATTAATCTTGCTGAACTTTAAATGGCAGTAAAGTAGCTCTATACCTCTGATATAGTCATCATGGGCTCTTCTTACATTTAACAAAAAGAAATGAGTACTTTTTCAACTGATTTTATGTATCTATCCAGATAACTACCTCAAGATGAAATTAATCACTTCTTAGAAATGAGTCTTACTCTCCATAATCTACTCCAAGGAGTCTAGAATGAGCAGCTTAGAAGTAGGCATCTATCTTTGGCAAGCCGAAGTCCAAACCTAGGACCTATTCCTGGTGTTGCCATAAACATTCTTTCTAGGAGCTTTTATAGCACACACAGATTAGTGTAGTATTCAAATTGCTCGTTTGTTGTGACCCAGCTAGTTGGAATGTTGGAACAATCTGTAGCAGTGATACAGAATTCAATGAAAACTAATTATCTTGCCCAAAATAGGCTAAGCTGTCAACTATCTCTTAAATTGCTTGCCTGTCTTACTGCATTCTTCTGCTTGAATTGACTGGTTTGAGACACCTTTCTCTGATTCTCGACAAGCCCATCTGTTACAGAGAACATCATGCTTGATTCTCACACTAAGAAATTAAAACTTAATAAAGACATACATGGAAAATTAAAGCCACTGTAAGACTGAGGTTTACTAGCCTCCTGTTTAATGCACCATCTCTTGGCTTTAAGGAGTGTGTCAAAATGAACTTGAAAAGAGGATTCTTCCTTTTCTAGCTTCTGTGCTATCATGCTTTCAGAAATAACTGGAGAGAAGTATCTGACATTTTTTCATTCTACAAGAAAAGCATCATGTTCTGTTTCCTGTGTGGCACATGTATACATAGTACCAGGGAGGGTTAATGGTTTAATCAGTGGCGTTAGAAACTAGAACTTATTTGTAAAGTCCTGGACAGGGGTGAGAGGGGGGTGTGTTGGGGGGCG